TCCATCACTATAGTCATATTTTCTGCACCTCAACAAGCCACAAGGTACATCCGAAAATGATGTTTCTCCATGCAACGTAGGTGAATATCGAATAGGTTAGAAATTGGCCAGTGCGGTACTGGATTCCTGTCAATCCCATCCATATCTGCCAAACCACAATTTTCCCCTTCCACCTCTCTCTACATGTAGATGAATGACCTCTGCCAACCTCTATACACTCTCAAGACTACACTCCATCATCACTCACTTGCTATTCCATGAGGGGTAATCCACACTCAAGGAAAGAGCAAGGTTGCTCTGATACCATTGTAACACTAGGCTTTAGGGAGAAGCTCACTCGAAGATAGAAACGTAAACTCTTAAGATAAGAGATACCAACAATGGTTCTACTCTCCCTTATATAGCTCTCACCAACAAGTACAAGGAGATAAGATATAATCTCCACCATCCATCCCACTCCTAATGGATGGATGACGTGGCGGATAACCCTAACAAGCACACGGATCGTTGACGTGGCGCACCCAACTAACACACTAACTAACACACTCAATCCTTACCTACAAGCACACGGATTGCTAACGTGGCACTGTCAACTAACACATCCACTGTGTACCTACCAAGTGCGCGGATCGCTGACGTGGCAGCTATGACTAGTGCACACTAAAGTATATACATCAATATTTAGAGTAACCTCTACTTTAGTTCTAACTAACTAAAGATGGTTACAACAAGCCAGGAGGATGACACTGGAGCTAGATGGCATGGTGAGGTTGACGAGGAGATGGTGCCTGGTTGGCATGCATCTACCTTCATGTGTTGGTTAGGTGGAAACTCCAGCAGAGAGTATCATCTGACATCTTACTCTAGTCAGAGAATAGATGGTCGATCTTCAGATCCTGAGGTTGAGGATGGTGGTGTGGATTAGCGTGATGTTCATGATGATGCATTGGTGTTGGAGTTCCTACGGACCAGCATGGTGCCAGGCATAGTGGGTACCACGTCGCGAGATCATCCAGAGGCGGATGGTTTAGCTGAACGTGTTGTACAAACGGTGAAGAGGGCGTTGCACAAGTATGGCATATAGAAAGGTCATCTTGGGGACTCGGATATTAAGTTACCATGGTTGGCCATGGGATATCGGTTCAATCGGCAGGCATCCTTGGCTTCTTTCTCACCATATTTTCTATTGTACGGCGGAGATCCAGACTTGCCAACATCGATTCGTCGTGAGTGTAGCGAGGTGGTGAACCTTGATGATTCGAATATGTGGATGAGAGTATGTTCTCAGCGTGCAGAGCTCTTTCGAAGAGTTATGCGTGCAACGTTTGAGAATCTTGCGATAGCTCAACATAGAGATACGTTGCGATATGCAACCATTCGGGGAGGAGGTTATCGACCATCGCTTTGTAGATTCCATGTGAGAGACTAGTCTATCTACAGCAGAGTGCACCGACGACATTGGATGTGATGGCGAGACGCACAATCTTGCGAGTGCGGGAGGTGTTACCTTCTGGAGTTCTCCTGTTGGAGGGTCGTGACGGTGTTGTTTGGAAGGATCATGTGCGCAATTGTGCGCCATGCCACCTCCCAAACGTAGATGGCACTATGGACCCAAGCTTAGCAATAGTACGTGCTGGCTTAAGATGCATGCTGTGTGGGTCAGCTGGTCAGGCGGCCCGTATGTTGGTGTGTGATATGTGCTCTAGGGGATGGCACATGTCGTGTCTAACTCCGCCTATCGATGTTGTTCCGGCTGGACGATGGGTTTGTCATCAATGTACTTCAGAGGGGTAGATGATTTGATCTTCACATGTTATGAATTGCAGATAGGCGACTAACGATGGGGCAACATAGCACTTGGCCTACTCGTTCGCGCACCCACGAAAGTGTATAGCATGTAGTTGTAGATAGGGCTACTTGGGAGTTAGAGGGACCTGACCGCCAACTATGGGGGCAAGTTGTGACATTGAGTGTGTACTCTCTCGCGCCTTATATGTGTGTATGTGTGCGTATGTGTATGTGAGTAGCATGTTAGCGATGTAGGATGTATGGCGATACGTATTCGCACGACAGCTGTGATGTAGTTTTTGGTGTTTTTCTAAAAGTAGCGTCGAGCCTAGGGTTTCAGGTCAGAGGGTATAGATCGGAGACGGCTCGAAGAACGTCAGTTCTTCGAGTCAAGCCTAGCGCGTTGGGAGTAGTGCTCGGGAGCATCGACCTGCAATCTCCGAGTGTGGAGTGGGTTTGGCTTGACTATGTTTGTGACGGTGACGGTTTTGCCAGTAGGGTAAACGACCGACGGGAATTCCAATGGGGAATCTCCCGTTTATTTCAGTTGTGACATTTGAGTGTGTACTCTCTCGCGCCTTATATGTGTGTATGTGTGTGTATGTGTATGTGAGTAGCATGTCAGCGATGTATGATGTATGGCGATACGTATTCGCACGACAGCATAAGCTTAGGGATTAGGATGGAGATGATTAAAGTTAAACTCATGACTTCTACTAACTATGATTTGATTAACTGTTGCATATGAGTTATACAACTTCAGATCGCTGTAATTAAGAACTCTACTACATGAAGTACCTAATCCAAACCTGTCTTAAAACTTCTTGCTCATTTGTACGAAAGCACTTTGAAAAAGAAAGAGTTTGTACTTGCGCTGGTTATGGAGATGGAGTAAAGCTTATTGGTTATTTTTTCTACTTGTACATAGCTACTTAGATCATAAAGTTTATATTCACAATTTCATATCAGAGTGATAATTATTGAAAAGTTTGAAAGTATATATTTAATTATACCAAGAGTATTAAAGATTAGCATTTTTTGTTTGATAATTTATGAATGTTATCTCATTATTACATTATGTTGATGTCTATTAAAAAAATTACATCATATATGTCTCTCCAGTTGAAACATGATGCATGATTCTATCATATGTAGCAACAACATTTTCTAATTCAATATGTGCATTATTTTATCAATTAAAATGAAAGAAAAATATTTTAATAATTTAATAAATTTACATCTTATAACATATGAAATGAAAATTAAAAAGATGAAATAAATTTAAAATTGATTTTATACATTTTTGAAATAAAAATGTCAATTGAATTAAGATTGAAAGCAAATTGAACATGTTTGATACCTTGATTAAAAAAAATATTTCTTTGAATAGTTTGAGTAGAATTTGTGCTACTGTGCAGATTTTCCATAAAGATCAAAAGTGAATACACTAGCAATTTTGTTACTTCTGTCCCGCAATTTGGCTAGTATTAAGTTTTATTTGACATTGATATATAAAGTTATTTACGTTATAATATACCATCAATAGGCATGGAGCGAGCAACGTTTGACTCCAAAGTAATCATATTGATGATAAGATTTGTTGATTCATATTTCAAGACATGAATTGACAAAAAGATTAGTAGAAATGATTTCAAATATTGATTTAATTTTACTAGTTTAATTATGGCTAATTAGACTAATAAGCTATTTATATATCAGAATTGCTAGGAAAAACTATTTGTGAAAGAAATAGATGAAATTGTGTTTATGTGGATGTAGCATCGATTAAATGAAGTACGTATGTTTTGTATTAAACCCCATGACATTGATTGTGAATTTGTATGTAAATAACATGAGATACATCAATATTCAATCAAAATAATTAAAATGATAGGTTAAAAAAATTAGAAGACAGTATCTGATAAAAAATTAGAAAAATTGGAAAAAATTGCGTTTCAAATTTTCTAATTGATCTCTAATTGTTTATTGACAATTTTTGTTAAAATTAAGAAAATAATGTATCATTTGAAATATATTTTACAATTTTTTTTCATAAAGTTACTTAAAAAAATGCATCGTTTATATATTTTTTCCCAAATTGATACAGAATTTTAATTATAATCGATCTTTATTTCTATGACGATTTATGTTTGACTTATGATTAAAAATTGTATTTCTGAAAATATGTGCATAAGGAAATGATAAAAGCTAGAATGTTGGTGTATAATTCATGAATCATATTCAACCTCTTAAGTTTGACTAAAATTATTTTGAACTTGACACTATGAGATGAAGATGACGGCGGAAGATATTTTAATACATTAGAGATTAAACGATAGAGGAGTTTGTGTCAACGTGTATGAAACGTCAAGAAGTCAAGCTATGTACTTTGTGTGTCAATTCTTTCTATGCATGCAGTTTTTTTTTCTATTTATCATGTTTTGAACCAACAATAGTTACCATGAGTTATCATTACCAAAATCCATATGGTTATTAATCAACAACTTGTTTTATTCGAATATCAGATAATTTAAATGATAAAAATTCAAATTTTGAATATGTATTTTACTTTATGTAGTTTAATTTATATTCTATACATAACAAGAAGACACTTGATCACATCATTTTCTTACAGTGCCAAATTTCAACCACTTGAATAACCATACGTAAAACTTAATTCAAATATCTTGCACTAAGAACACATCAAATCATCTAATTTGATTTAATCAACTAAATCGAGTTTTAAAACTCTTTTTCAGTTTCAAACGTTCACAAGAATGTTATTTTTCGGTATTATAACATTAAAGGAATACTACAGAGGAATAAAATTGACTTTGTTTTACGAATAATCTAGTTCTTTGCTCTAGCAAATGTTCACAGTACAGTACTTGCACATTAGAACTCTAGGCCATGAATCTATCGCGTAACCAGCTAACTAGATATTTTATTGCATCAATGCATGTTTTTCAAACATATTGTTATGTGTGTATTGATACCAAAACAAATCTAGTTCAACGAAGGAAGCAGAAAATACAGTACAGTATTCTTTGCTTGCCGATATAGAAAAATATCAACGGACGTGGCGAGCTTGAATCCAAGATTCTATAACTTCGAACTTAAATCAGCATACAACATGCCGCTAAAGTACTGCTCAAGAAGTTTCAAAATGCTTATCGAGTCCAAATCGATCTTATACTTCCAAGGCTTCTCCGTTGACTCGTCAGAAAAACATTCTCTAGACTATATCAGTGCTCTCGTTTTTGAGATTTACAGGAATTCACCACATGCAGCCAATCGTGAAGAGCTGCTCGAGAAGTTTCAGAAGTTAGTACTTGACCTTGCTGGAAAAGTCGCGTAGCCACTGACGGAGGAACATTTGGAATTGGCGTGACTCATCGATGTGGCAATTTCGAAAACCACCTGGCAATACCGACCGCATCATACCATGCAGTGTTATGGCAACCCTTCCCCACTGTTGGTGGAAGCTTAAATTGAATTGGCCTTCAAAACTTCAGGGACTCATCCTTGCTAGGGACATGCGCTCTTTGCGGAGTCATTCCAGCGATCGTGCTCCAACTACAAGACGAGGACTTTGTCTCCGAAAAGCTGTCATACATGTTCTCCAACATACTAGGAAAAAACGTCGACTGGCGGAAGTGAGATTCATCTTCAGGGGCAGAGCTTGACACTTCTTCTACATGCTTCGGGGCGAATCTCCAGCGAAGGGGTATGATGCTTTGAGCCAACTGTGTTTTATAAGACACGAGCACACTGAATGATCATGACCAGATCGATATTACAGTGCCAGGGAAGTGTGATTCGTTATGCAGTTTCTTCCAAGTTCATATTCTTCTAAGTCCATTGGTCAGAACGAATATAGTTAATGTTGATAACGTCTTCACATGCATGCCACATGCAGCTGAAGCAACACCCGTTCTGACGAAAATGTCTCGTCCCGTGAAGCAACAGCAGTAAGAACATTTGAATTGAAACCCGAAAGTTTGAATCAAAGATCCAGTTTGCTGGAGAATGGAGCGTATGCGAGATTTGGGCCCAAAGACTCCTCCGGAGAGATCCAAAGGTTTCACCAAAAGGTATCTGCTGCTTTCATACATGTGCTCTATTTCCTCCTGACATCTATTCGCGATCTTCTGTAGAAGAAAGCTCTTTATGCAAGCTCAAAGAACTCTTTGGAATATACTTCGAAGACTTCCGAGATGCAATTTTGCAAGACCGTATACTGTCTCAAGTAGAGACTCTGTGTGCACGACTCCCTAAAAGACGTAGTATCGGATTACTAGAGCTTGAAATTTTTTCTAGGAAGTCAGGAGTCTTTTGAGAGATTATCTGATAAACTGGAACTATCGAAGAAGGCTTGTGTCCTTAAAGAGAAAAAGATGTTTCTGAAACAATCTTCGTTTTTCTTATGATTAATACATCTGATGGGATGCCACTCCGTTCACAGATGTCAACACCATGAAGATTTTCTAACCTCAGAATATTGTGGAGATTGTTCTGAACTGTGCATTGCGTTGAGTCCACAACGGTCACAACCCGCTGTCGCACGTTTGTTAGTTCTGAATTGGATGAGAGTGTAAGCTAGAAGGTATGTTTTGCAGGATTTGGAGGTTATAGTTTTGAAGATGAAATACCTTGAATTGCCTCTCGTATTGTATTCAATGTAAACCAAACTTCGTGGCCGTTGTTCAAACTCATTACTACTCAACTTTCTGTCAAAAAAGATCTCCATTCAGACACGCTGCGAACGATGTACATTTAACAACTAGGATGGAATTAATGTGTCAAATCGTTACTATCCCAAGCCTTGTGCAGGAGACTGGACATTATATTGTAGTCAGTCACCATCTCAAATTGTCCCAAGATGAGATCAGCCGGCGGATTTTCACACTGACACATTCTCGGTCCAGGTTCTTCCTTCAGCCGAAGATAGTGGCAGTTTACCCTCTCTTCGGAATGCTGACCTTAGCGTTTGGCTTAGCCGGCCTGACGGCGGCACGGCATCTTGCTCTGTCACCAGCAGTGATAGTTGACAAGAAGAAGCGTTCTTCGGACCATTTTCCAGAGATGAGAGATCCTGAAGAAACTGTGCTGAAATCTAAACAATTCACAGAACGCAGTCCTTTATATCTACTTTCAAAAAGATCCAGTCCGGGTATATCTGTCTCAGGGATCCAGCAACTACCACCCGTTCTACCTGGAGATGAAACCTCTGCGACAGGAGTACAAGGCACCGGTGTTAATCAGGGAGCGCGAGCTGGTGGAATCTAAGCGATCGTTAGCCATTTTGACATAGCGATAAAACATTATCTACCCTGGAGCCAATTCAACATAGAAGTCAGGGATAGACAATGCTTTACAATCGAGCTGTATTGCTCAATGTGCTGAAAATTTTGTACAGACGTATATGTCTTAACCCTAAAATTCATACGAATGTTATATCTGACTTTTTCTTAGTATTTTAACTTGGGTAATAGAATTTTGGGGTCTCCTACTTCTCATAAAAGATAGGCGGCTTGTATGAGAAGAAGCATGGCTAATAAAAATGTCTGATACGAGATAATCGTAGCACCATTGTAGTGTTAAGTTGTTATCTTGGGTAATCAAATAGTATAGCAAAAAGGAAGGTTTAGCCCCATCAAATCATAGAGGAATGAGAGAGTAGAAGATTACGAGTAAGATGTAAAATATTTCTTCAGTACAACAAATTGCAAATATTAGAAGGAATGATGTTAGTTGCTGCGAATTGAAAGGAAGAGTGTAAAATCATAAATATAATTGGACAATTATAATGCGCTGGCTGAGAAGTGCTTCCAAAAATTTCGGTTAGTAGGGCAGAATTTCGTCAACTCAATGTTGAAAGTAATCATCATGAGCAAGAATGTATGTGGAGAACAACAATTGGCGATCGTGGGAAATTAGACCTTTCATTGTTAAAGCGTCTTGGAATCTGCAAAAGTACCTCTGATTGTGAAAATTGGACTGCGTAATCCTTGTGTGATAACGAGATTATACATCCACCATTGTGCAAAGAACTTTGCTCATGAACAAACTTCTCTCTCGGCGAGTGGTGACCTCAACTTGAGTACGTGAGGAGTGTGACTCTCGAAATATGGACCAAGATCTCGGCTCTTATCGCCACTTCAAAGTGGATAAAGAAAACGACTGTGGGAGAGTTCGGATTCGCATACGGGCTTTGATATCAAGAAATGAAAGTGATTAATTCTCCGCAAGCATAAGTGGACCAATAGATAAAAATTGGGCCTCATCAAGAATTTGTTACGAGTGGTGGCACTTATATTGAATCAATTTTCTCTTGGCAATGCATAACTACTAAGTATGCATAAGATACTAATGATGGAGGTTTTTTGTGTATAGGCCAATGCTTGTTAATTCTGGGGAAGAACTTTTTTCAGAATAGTGAGAACATGGTCTGGCGTCTAAGAATCGAAGACAAGAGTTTCTTTCATACTTCCTGATGGATTTTTACGTGCAAATATAGTGAATGAAACCCCAAGAATTTATAGTATATTAAATCAAAAAATTTTCTCTCCCATTTAACTCCCTATATGACTTGAGTAGATCATTTATAGTGATTTACTCGTTTGCAACTTGATTTTTTTTTTTCAATTCAACTTACATACTTTCACATTTATCATAAACTACAAGCGTAATAACTTCATATGTTTACTAACTTGGAAGAAAATTTATTGGAATATTTAAAATTTTCAAGGTGGTATGTTAGATAGATCAAGCCCGTTGGGAAAAAACACGTTACAAATGATACATTCACTCACATGGGAATAAATCCTAAAGTTGTCCTAGCTACAACCTGGAACACTAGAACAATCATAAAATGGCTTTCCTTATATAACAAACTAAATCATAAGTCACAACCTTTGATAAAGAATAAAAACTCTCCACAAGTGAATCACTTTTGAGTTGACAAATCAAAACTAAAGTAAATAAAAGTTGATACTTTCATACAATTTTTTACCTGAAATTTTTTTTCACTCACAAAGATGAAATATCAAGCTCTGAAGTTCAATGATCATCATTTTACAATAAATTGATAAAAAGAATTCAATTAAGTTTTTAAAACTCTAATTCAAGAACTATGTATGCAATTTTTATGTAAAATTATCAACAATTTATTATAAAGATCACATTGATAAGTGCATAATTGACTAGTGCAATTGAAATTGAAATTTCTCTCCTAATTATGAAGAATTATTTTCAAAAACATTTGAAAATATCAACCGAAAAAATTTTAAATCTATATGATATAAAAAATTTATCTATGTGAAAATACGTCTACAAAAAGAACACCAAAACATTCTTAAACTCCTTGATCATTTGATTTTAACGGATGATGAATAAAAATCACACGATTTAGGATTTTCATTGGATCCATTAAAATTCCTAAAACATGTGTTATTATGTGATATTGCTATATAACATAACTTGTGTAACAAGTTATGTTATATAGCAATGGCTGCTGTTAGTCTGAATAGATTGAATTTCAGATAACTGTTTTTTTGAATTAAAATTGGATTTTTTTTACAAGTTAGATTTAACTAAATCTGAATTGTAACAAATATATGATAGGTTCAAATCATATGTTGATAAAAAAAACTTAAATAACAGCTTGAAATTTGCATTTGCAAAATGTTCAAAAAATATTTGATCAATGCATCAGCTAGATTGAATTTTTTTTAATATTGATTAAATAGATTTCTATTATCATAACTACACATTTCATTAAATGAATACTGATGTCAATTTTTTTTTTTAACCTATCATTTTATTTGATGCAAGATGTAATGCACCAAGATTATCACAATAAAAATTAACCTGATGCTTTAATTTCAATAGAGAGAATTTTTTTTAATCAAAAGTCATTGCTCTTTATTTGTTTATAATTTACAAGATTAATTAAAAAATTATTTGAAAATAGGAATACATTTTACTTTGAAATTATGTAGTATCAAAATGAGGTCAAGTTTTTTAATATTTTCAATTAGACTTTCAAAATATCGGATTCATTAAATTTTGATTCATTGTAGATGTTGAGTCCAAAATTTTCAATATTTTGAAAATAAATTCGAAATTTTGTTGGAAATATCAAAAAAATTGTATGATTAGTAAAAATTTATAAATGTTTGAAAAAAAAATCTGTAGTATTCATTAAAAAATATTTATGTATATTGAAAACATGATGTGATATAAATTATGACTTAAAAAATAGTGAAATTGATTAAAAAATAAAATAAAATAAAATAAAATAAAAACAGATTTAAAAAAAATTCTATTTATCTTGAAAAGTGTAATTCAATTATACAAAGTTACACAAGTAAATCAAAGAACTAAATTATTTATTTTAAGTGAAAAATATTATACACATTATATTTTTAACACATAATTTTTTTCTATATGTAAGATTATGGTGTATACGTAGAAAGGATTTATAAAACTTTAAATAAGTTTGAAATGATAATTTAATTTAATTTAATTTAATTATTATTCACATGATATGTATTATAAATTTATTCATTTCCATATATATTATAATTTTTGAAATATTCAAGCTTATTAATATGCAAGTCCAAGTTTGAAAATTACAAATGAAATGTTGGGCTTGCATGCATTAATTTTTTTTTTAACAAATAGTAAAATCATACTTTAGAATTTGACTTATTTATTTGCTATCTACAATTTTGGTCAAGCTTTAGGTTCATTTGAATAATCCTCAAAAAAAATTATATTAGCAAGAATTTATTATTGGTAATAATTATAAACTTATATTTTGTAAATTTTCTTTTCTGTTTTTTAATAATAACAATATGTTATTAAAATTTTGATATTTTAATTTCTTTCATATATTCCTTTATCAACATGAATGATGCTTTTATGATAACATTTTGAATTCTTTTGAATTTGAATTTTTAATTTTTGTTATATTTTTACCGATAAATAAATAAAAATTAATAATTTAATACTTTTTTAAATATTCTATTCAAAATGAATAATGTTTTCCAAAAATTATTTTTATTTGAAAAAATGAAGGAATCGTTCAAAAAGAGTTTAAGCATTGAAACTGTCAAAATTTAAAATTTTGTTCTAGAAAAACCCTCAAAATATTCTTAAGCTAGGAATTTAAGAAATAGTAATTTTTAAGCCAGGAAAAGAATCAATGATAAAACTGATCTTACTACTACAATTTCATATTGATGACATCACTTTTTTCATATCATATTAATTAATTTTGATTGATTTAAAATTAATCATTTTTCGAATCTACCGTTTTTTTTTATGAAAATGGATCTTTGAAAATATCTTAGTCTTGTTTTTTCCTTCATTTCTTTGCAATAACAATGAAATTTATGATTCTTTGTTAATCCTTCCATTGAGTTATCCACATAATTAGCATGATGGAAAAAAAGCAACAATATTTAGCGTTGGCAGTTGCAACAATCTACTAGAAGCAATACCTTTGTTGTGTAGTTTTAGATTTAATTTCAGGTTCGAGACTTTTTCCTTGCCTTCATTTAATCTGAAGGAGTGAAGAAGTGTAAGTGGGAAATTTTGTCCACCAAGTTTAGGGTTCAGTGTTGCGAAAAAGATTCAATACTTTGTCAACAACATGAACATACATGTTCAGCGTTCAAGTAATATTTGTTGCAAAACCATTACTCAACTCGCAGTACTGTACTGTACGGTACCACGCAGTTTTATATTATACTGAGAGGGATTGAAGAGCTGAGTAGACTTTGATATTCTTGATCTCCATGCAATCTGAAGTGGTGAGGGAATGTATGTGGGAAAAAATGTCGATGTTGGCACCGCAGAATCAATTCTGTTGTCAACACGTATCACTTTTATTACTGGGAGATACTAAACACTTGACGCACGTTGGGGAAGTACCCTCTAATTGAAGAAGATAATACCGACAATACTTGTGTTAGATATGAATTGACTCTGTTAGGAGTCGATTTTATCTCAGAATCGGATTAATCTGATTTCAAACAGCTTGATATTGGACAGAATACATCACTCGATGCGCATTACTGTACTACTGTACTACTGTACAGTAATGCGCAGTTTTATATTATACTGTGCGGGATGCAAGAGCTGAGTAGACTTCAATCTCCTTGCCATGCTGCCTTCAGATTATGATGGCAACCGCACGGCCGGGAGCGTTTCGATAGCCATGATGCCGTTCAGCCCCCGAGGAAGCCAACTACTCATATGGATACTGTATTGGGATCCGCGATTTTCGTCCTCGTGGCAGGTAATCGGTGGGTGATTTGTACTGAATAGGCGAATGAAATCCCGTCCAAATGCTCCGACTAACTGTTTCCGCTGGCTTCCGGACGCACGTTACATTCGACGGATTTTCCTTGACGGCACGATTCAGGTCTACCGTAAATGTAAAGTCGAGACTTATACGGCTCTCTCACCTTCATTGAATTACTACTGTCCGTATGCTTGTATGATCCTTTCACATGGAATGTGGAGCTCTTCCATTCTGCATTCCACTTAGCAAGGCTTGACTTAGGTCGAAATACATATTTTGGTAAAGTTCTAAACACAAGTTGCTTATGCAATGATGCAGCTTCCCAAAAGAAAAAGAAAGACATTCTCCAATATCTTTCTATTTACTGAAGAATGCGTCAGCAGGTTTCACCTATTTCATGTGATTATCACAAGGCCGGGCGTAACAGGAGCTTATGTCAACGACAATCAGTGGGTCTGTGAGAGAATACCGTAAACAAGATGGATAGAGGGTTGCACTGCTTTTACATGAATGGGCAGTTGTTTATAGATGTATTTAACAAGACTGAGAACAAGTGATCAGTATTTAGACGTGGGATTAGGGTCGAATATAGAAACACTTGTCAGACAATAAAAGCTTAATGCAGAAGGCAAACTATGTAAGTGTGAAAGATTTTATATCTGAGACAGTGTACAGGCATTCAGGCTGCCATCTGAATCAAGTCAATGTGGAAGCAGTTCGATTGTCTCTGAGTTAGTTGAGCACGTTTGGATAACGAAACGTAAGAAAAACAACGTCATCGTGAAGGAATTCATGAAGAAATGTAAGTTGATGCTACTAAGTTAGGTTCACCACATCTATTGATGTGCATTCCTCTCCCGTCTTACTCACAAAGATGCGAAACTGGACAAACTATTTCATACAGAAAAGATAGACTAACCACAGAAGCTAGATCACACTGTCCGTAGGTTTCTGCAAGCATGAAAGTTTAAAAAGCTTAGAATATTTACTGGTTGACTTTTGAATATTTTAATATTCCAAGTTCTAAGATGCACGACAGCACACTGGCCTATGCCGAATCGATATGAACAGTATTGTAAAGAATCAATTAGATACTTTCATTAATATTGTGTAAAGCCAATTGCAGTCAGCATTTGTGCAGGAGGTCGTACGGCGCACGATGTGTGGTATGTCATACGATAGCATCGTATGACATCGTAGATGCCAATTTACTTAAGACCCGTGAGGCAATTCTCAGACAGGAAATCGAAACTCCAACCGAAAATAAGGCGTTTAAGTGAAGGAAGTCATCTCTCTTATGGCCACTGAGTTTGTACAGACAGACTTTGGGAGGTAAAGTCCAAAGTCAAGAGGGAAGCAGCCCTGGAAGAAAATGACTTTTTTGTTGGCTGTCACAGGTTCACAGCTCCCAAGCAGAACGGATTTCTAAAAAGGTCATCTCCGTAGAAATGCATACGTCCGTCTGAACACCTAGGAAACGATTTCGCGCGATTGGACCGATGTTGTACGTTCGGTGCATGGCTGAGTCGGCGAGTTTCCATTTAGCCCCGATCCGACGGTGAAGGAGAGGCACGTGTTGGTGCCATGCATTCATTCCATCGGTATATATCTGATCATGGGTGATCGATTGTGAGCAGCAGCAGCTTTGAATACCTGGAGTTGCAGTGTCTTTGAATCCAACCATTTTTGACTCCATTGACGTTAAGATTTTCGGCTACTTATAGAGCCCGCTGGGTGTTACATGTTCATCACTCATCGATTGCATCAGTCTCAGCACGGAGATACAGATATATACCGAGTAGATTGCAGGTTCAGCGACCAGTGTTTTTGAAGGAGGCATCTGATTTTGGGACCTCTGCGGATCTGTGTATAAAGGAGTGCCAACATGGTGAACGCTAGAAGCGACGGACCTATGCCCAATACTGCACCTGGAGGTGCTCATCCATTCGGAAGCACTGTTATCAGCAGGAGGTTCGTTTTCATTCCTCGTTCGGAAAGGAAGATGTTGTTTTGCGTCTCTGGAGGTTGTCATAGCTAATTGTCCAGGTTTTTTAACAGTTGTGCACTCAGGAAGCCGATCTATGTTGTCTGGCAGTTGCATTTCGATTATCGGTAATGTTGATAGCGAGCTCGCCATGTAATGGCGAGCTTATAAACGAATGAAGTATAACTGATGACAATCTGGCTGCAGGTTTGCTTTCATGACGCCAAAGATGGCACCAATCTATCCATTATTCGGCATCATGACCATCGCCTTTGGCTTAGCCGGAGTGACAATAGGGCGACAGATGACTGTATCACCAGACGTTCTCATTGACAAGCACAAGCGCAAGAATGTTCCAGACATTGAACAACCAGAGCTTATGTTGCACCAATCGGAGCAGTTTATGACAAATAGTCCCCTCCGCAGACTCGCCAAGGAGCATAAGAAGGGCATGTTCTTTTCCGATATTGTGGAGCAACCTACTACTCCTGCTTTTCCAAGGGAGAGTAACCATTACAAATCAGAGAAGAGTGTGATAGCCGCCAGCCTTTGAAGTAACGGCGATTCACAGTTCCGACTGTATCAAGATAATGACGAGAAGGTAGACGATATGCCACTGCAACAACTCTTAGCGACATTGCGGTTGTAAACCGAACGAGAAATAGTATTAGATTGAAGCACTTGTAACTGGTTGCAAGAAGTCCCGCACTACATTGAATCACAGCACGAATACCACATTTGCTGCACCGTAACTTGTTGCTCTTGGGAACAGGTTCATACAGCACATACTTGACAGTAGCGTCCATATGCAGCCTCACTGTATATGGTTCCATCACTATATTATAATATGTAGCCTAATTGATGTAGTTATCAACCTCTTTGTACTGTCGATGTGTGAACTGTTTCATAACATGTTCACTCAAGTGGCCAGGAATGTGGATTAAAAAATAGATGAAATCCTAATTTTAACTATTGTGAAATATAAATTGTAATAAAATATTTATTGCTTTTATTTACCTCATGTATCATACTTTATAAATGATCTGTAGTTTTAACAAGTAAGAAAAAATTGATGTTTTCATTCCATCACGTATAAAACCTACTGAGTCGAGAAACATAGCTGTACATCTATAAACGAAAATAACTTATGTAATAAAATTATGTATGTAGTATAAGTTTTGATAAATACTTCCTCATTCTGATAACGCAATTTCTTCCATCCTCTTATGTAAGCTGATGACTACATTTTTCTGTAGGACTCCTGTTCTCTTCTTTTCTGTAGTGTACATAAGCTCTTATAATAGTCGGGTTTAGGATTTATTTACCGTAAACCCCAAACAAATCGGAAGTTTTGGAGAAGTAGACCAGCTTTGACTTTTTTTGGGGTAGATCAAAGACAATCTCGTCTTTGATCCATCTCATAACGTTCTTATATAAAATGATATATAAAAATAGAAATAAGCCAAAATATTTTGACAATTATATTTAATTGGAAGCAATGATGTATTATAAAAAAATTCAAGTATCAAAACCATTCATACTCCCAATCATTTTTTGCTAAAATATGTTTTTAAACGTTTCTATGTATGATGCAAAAATGTAGACGTATGGATTCGTCTACATTTTTGTAGACGAATCCATACGTACATGCAAGGTGCAACGTATCGAAATACACACAAAGTGTTCAATACTAAAAAATGTGTTAACTTCAAGCTTCACGTGTACCTCCTATTTATATTTATACATGTTAGTAGGTTTAAATAGAGTTAAATCTCAACTTTATTTAATAAATAGTCTAGTTTGTATACTTAAATTAAATAAATTCTAATTTAATCCTATACATCATTAAATAAAATCTAATTTAATCCTATACATCATTAAATAAAATCTAATTTAATCTTATACATCATTAAATAAAATCTATAATACAATTCTAGTTAATCTAACATTAAAATTATTTAATTCTAACAATTTACCTCTAAATTCTTGGAGATAGTTAACTTTTAAGCTAGCTATATATAAATATATAGCTTTTATAACTAAAACTAATTAGAATATGATTGTAATCAAAATATGATGGAGTAACTTTATATGGAGTTAATCAAAATTGCTTGTATATTTTACTTGTGCTCCTCACCATACCAAAATCAATATCACTATGTTCAATAATGATAGAATCAGCTCATCACTTATAGTTTACAATAGCTCTAGATAATTCAATTTGATGATCAGACAATAAACAATTAGGTTGAACTCTATTGTCTAGTGTAGATAATTGAGTCTCATCAATGGTAATCTACTACTTCAATTTTTGCTCTTCATTGATTTGTTTCATATGTCTCAGAATTTCTCCTCATGTCATACCATTAATCACATCAATAGTAATCTTCTACTTCAATGTTTGCTCTTCATAGATTTGTTTCATATGTATCAGAATTCCTCCTCATACCATTAATCACATAATGATTTACCTCTCATGCAGGATATCTGCAAAATCTTTTCCTCTTTCAATGATTTGGGCTTATTGAAAGAAACATCATTATTGATAATAACATTACAAACTAGTGAATTTCATAACTTATAATACTTCACATCACTAATATATTCCAAAAAATACACTTCTTAGAAGTATATCCAGCTTGAAACTGTTTACTTAGGTGTGAAAGTATAAGTTGTACAATAAAAAATTGTTGAACCACAATAATCAATCATCCATTTGTGTTTTAGTTCAAACAGTGTCAGATAATTAATTGCACCAGAGGAATTTTTTTCCCCAAATCAACAATTACATTGTGATCATCTTTAGTTATGTAGTAGTTCACTCGAAGATAGAAACGTAAACTCTGAATATGAACGATAGCAACAATGGTTATCCTTTCCTTTATATAGCTCTTAGCAACAAGTTCAAGGAAATAAGATCCTTTCCCCACCATCCATCCCACTCCTAGTGGATGGATGACATGGCAGATAACACTAACAAGCACACGGATCGCTGACGTGACACTCCCAAGTAACACACTCAATCCTTAACTAACAAGCACACGGATCGCTGACATGACATTGTCAACTAACACAACTACTCTTCATCTACAAAACGCGCGGATTGCTGATGTGGCAGATATGACTAGTGCACGCTAAAGTATTTATATCAACATTTAGAATAATCTTTACTTTAGTCATAACTAACTAAAGATGATTACATCAAGCCACACTATTTGATATACCCCTCACGTACATGAAGATGTATCCAACCACAAATCATCTTCATTAGATCACCCTCAAACTCTAATATGCACGGAACTACATCCAACGAAATAAGTAGTTTCATCGTACATTATATACCTTGGCAAACCTGCGTATGATGTGTAACACCTGATGTTGTATGTGTGAACTAGAACTAGAATTAGCCAAGGAGTTAATCATGGTTAGGATAGTCATGACTAATTCTAGTTAGTTATGATTAATTCTAGTTAATTATGATTAAGTCTAGTTAATTATGATTAAGTCTAGTTAATTATGATTAAGTCTAGTTAATTATGATTAAGTCTAGTTAGTTTAGTTATGATGTCTATACTTGGCGGAATAACTAGAGAAATTCTAGAAGATTTGAGTGAGCACTTCTATTTTGTCTTGTACAAAAGTCTAGATTCCAAGAGAAAATACTTTTTGACTTTATTTTTAGTTTTGATTGGTTTGACTAAAGTAATGAACACTCCATTGGTTAGACTAAGTCTAATGTTGACTTAGTGGAAAGCGAAAGTTCTAGAAATTGGAAAGGCACAAATGGCATGTCGCCGCCTCAATCTAGGGATTTGTAAATATCTAGAAGGTTTAGGGCCCCAATGGCATGTTGCCACATATTGATAACTAGTCAACCTTACTATGGTTTATCTTTGTAAAAGTAAGTTAGATAAGAATTACCATTTGTTACTATGGTAAATTCTCAAGTAGTATATATAGAGAGTTAGGGAAGAGCCTCTCAAGCAAGTTTGGAGAGTTCATATGTAGGGACTTGTTTCATATATGAAAGAGTGACGAATTTTCAGTACCTTGGAGTGTCGATGAGTGTGTGAGTTGGAGTGATACCTTGAGAGATTGTGTGAGAGTGTGTTTGGGCTATGAGTATGATGCAAAATCATAGTCTTCTAGAACCATGATGAGCTACCAAAAAGCCATCTGAGGTAAACCTGAGTGAAAAATTCAGCCCGGAGGTTGCAGATCATGACACAATTAGAATTTTTCTTGTCGTAATAAATGTTAGAATTTTGGCTAAAATAGTTTTTGTTTATTTTAAAACCTTCTGCCATTATTTGATATTTTAGCGATGTGACGGCTGTGAAGATCAAATTTTTTTCTTTAGAGTCAAAAGTTTACTTCATATTTCTTGAAGCTTTGACATTAACACAGTTAAAACCGAGAGTTTTCAATATTTAAATTAAAAAAATCACCAGCACAAGCAAGACACAATAGGTACGTGGTTCACATCTGGCTCAAAGATTAGTCCTCAGGAAATTTATTGTATTTTAAGTTCCAAAGTCAAAATGTAACTCATCTTCAAGTATTTGTAGTGGCAGTTAAGCTCGGCAACTTGAACAAAAGAGTATCTGTAGTTAATTGAAAACTGGAATTAGATCTAATAATAATCATCATCAAATTTAGCATATGGTATTTGAGCTTGATTGTTCTCTTCAGTTTGAAAAGGCTTGATAAGATTTATTCTCTTCCAAATATGATTGAAAGGTCCAAATAACTTGATATTTACACATCTTTAGAGATACTTTAGCACAAACTAAATTTTGAATTGAAAATATGTTCCAAATATTGCACGATCTTGTCCGAACTAGCGTTCAATAATTTTTCCTTGACAACGACTTTTCTTAGTTAATCATGCGAAATAAGAATTTCAAGTGTATCCAAAAGCTCTAATTTTTAAAGTCAATAGTTTTTCTGTGAGGAGAATTTTAAGACTTTTACCATAACTCTAGGCATCAATTTTCTCTTTGAAGTTTTTGGTTTGAAATCTTCTTCTTTTTTAACTCTACAGGCACCTTGTTTTTGTGGAAGAAAAGAAGACAATGCTTGGCCATAAAGCAGCCTTGTTCAAGAGTAGAATTTGATTCACAAAGATTTTCTTGCCACACTTTCATTTCTCTATTGTTTAAGTGATCCAATACTAAAAAAGACTATCTATCAAATCATGGATGCGTTTCAAATCTTTCGGCAATGATCGCATCGTCCAAGGCAAGGCCAAAGAATCTGTTGCAACAACTCCTTAAATTATGTTTGCTTGCAATGTTTATCGATTTTATAGCACATACTGTTGTGATGTCATGCAAGCTGTGATACCAATTATTTAAAAAAAATAGCACAAAATCCATTACATAAATAGAGAAAATACAAGTACAAGAACATGTCAAGGCTATGCCCACAAGAACAACAAGGTTATTACTGAAAAATTTGCAAAATGTTGAGTGCGAGGTGTGGCTCATTATTTTATTTAAATAGGTAACAAATATCCAAATATCCAAAATCTAACCATAATTCCTATCCAAGTTAGATTTATTAAAAATTAATCCAACACTTGATTTACTACAGATAAACCTTAATTCAAATAAAATATTTAGACTTAATATTTAATAAAAAATTATAAAATTGTAGAAATTGTTTTGAATATAAAATTTTTTTGCATGTGAAAAAAAATATTGAATTTTTTAAAAATAATTTATAAGACAATGTACTTAAATAAATGAAATAAGTTTAACAAAATAATGTATGTTTAATTTTTTTTCAAATTATATTTATTTAATTTTTAGATTTATTATAGGATAAATAAGATACTCATTGTAATTGAGTAAATGAAGAGCATTTATTTACAAAAAAGTAGTTTAAATTGTTATTTGATAAAGTTAGAAAATATTATTTTATATTTACATGTGCCCATGAGTTCTCAAATTGTCAATTTTTACTTTGAATATCTATTATGTTAATCAAATACAATAAAATATATTTGATTGATTTAGACAATTATTATCAAAATGCATTGTTTGTATGATATACTTGAATTATCATATAAAAATCAATCTGTGTATCATGTGACTTGATTTATTTAAATACAAAGTAAGGTTTTTCCATTCGGAACAAGGCTTTTTCTTCAAATGTATAAATTTCTATTATAAAATTTTTAAAAATTCAGATAAAAAGTAAAAAAGCCTACATGGTCTTCAAAGTTACAAAAATCTAACATATTTTGATGTGGTTGTCCACCTCAATTGAGCCACGTAATTTTTCCAGCCATAAGTTAACGTAATAATAGTTTCATAGGACGTAAATTTGTGAGATGAAGAGTCATCACACACTAGAAAAAATGTACCACTCCAAGAGAAAATATATCACACTACAGGATCTCTGCCGAAAAAGGAAGAACAGTCACGGCGTAGTTTTTCATGTACTCACTCCGACGAATCCCGAACAAACTACCGAACTCAAGAACTTCATTATGTCAACATAACCTTAAGTTGAGCATGGGGCACTCCCATATCTCTACATCACAACGCATCTCGAGTGTTATAATTTCCAACTGGGATGTTGGTCCTTGATTACAGGTACTAAGTTGTCTCATACTGCATGTTTAGGGTTGTGTAGTTGACATGCCCACTTGAACGTGGGGCAAAAGAAGCCCTCAAGATTATCTCATTCCCGTGCAAAATTAATTAGCGGAATCAAACACAATGACAGGAAGGAATGTAACCAACCTTCCGTAATTCTCCAGGAGCAATATTCAGAACTATATCAGAAAAAAGAACCAAGAAAGAACACTACAGCAAATGACCCGAAGGGAGTGTTCAAGGGGTGAGGAGAGACGACAGTACAGGATATGGGGAAGGGCCTTACCAGCGAAACGGGCACTTCGCACTGGGAAGTGGAGGATGGTAGAGGATCTAACGAACTGAATCAGCGGACAATCTAAATCATTGACGGTTGAGGGAAGGAGGCGAGGGTAGGTCGCACCGGGAGGTCCGTAGAAGTAGAGCAGCCGGTAAGCGTTTCGGATGATGGTCAGGGGATTGTCCCCGTCATCCTGCAGCCCGCTTGGCTACCCCCGCGGCTCGTCCTGCTCCTGCTGCCGGAATGCGTCATCGGCGGGGAGGTGAGGTTGTTCGGCATCTCGACGCTCGTTGGCATTACCAAGTGTCAGCCCGTCTCATCCCAAGTCGATAGAATCTATCTCGTCTGGCTCGCGCCAGTCCAGTTCGGATGAGGCGGCTCGAGTGAGCTGCCGGTCTTTTCTTCGTTGGTTTCTCTTCGTCCCTTTTCGTTCTTGCCTTGAGGAGGAGCTCCGGCCCTGGAGCTGGGTTTGGTGGTCTGCTGCAGCAATGGCGGACTCGGATGATGAGGTTCCGGTTCTGGATGGAGAAAATGAGGAGCTGGATAATTCGAAGAAGCAGGAGAGGTCGCAGGTGAGCAAGGAAATCCCTAACTTTCGTGGGAAGGTGCCTGATGCCGAAAAGGAAGAAGGGAAGGGGACGCTGACTGTCAGATGGGACGAAGACGACGAAGACGATGAGCCCGACGATGAGGATTATGTGGATTCCGACGAAGAGGACGAGGATGCTGGAGCTGTGGGTGAGGAATTCGCGAAGGCTAGGAGAGAAGCTGCGAGGTTGAGGCGAGAGAAAAGATTGGAGGAAGAGGAAGCTGAAGCCGGGAGTGATGATGAGGATGTCATTGAGGAGGAGGATATGTGGAACTTTCCCGTCGATGAGGAGAAGTGGACAGAGGCTGATGTTGGCGAGGAGTGGGCTGATGCTTGGCCAGGTGACGATAAAGCTGGCTTTGATCCCGAATTAGTCGACGACGAGGAAGAAGTTTTGAAGCAGTGGAAGGAGGGAGGAGGTCCTCCGCGACGCCCGTACTATGTTCCCTACCGGAAGCATTATCCTCTTATTCCCGAAGACCACCCAGATATTCAGACTCCCCAGGATGTGGTGGAGGAGCTGGAGCGTTATGAGGAATTTTTGACTTGGGCCAGCTACATTTTTGAAGATGGTTCTACGTGAGTGTTCTTACTTCAACCAAAGAATCTAGAATTCTGAACTGCTTGACACACTGTCCAGCAACAGATCTCAAAAATCCCGGAAAGATGGTGCATGAAGTCGGTGTGCTTTTACGAATGATTTGAATACATTTTAGCGCAGTGTTCGTTTTCAATTATTCAAATTTTTGCGTGAACTTGCTCAACTTTTTTCAACAATGCACCTTCAGCAGTGGCTATTTTTTGGTCTTTTAGCACGGTTAGGAATTCGCCTGAGTCTGGATTATCTCAGGCGTATACCCGCTGCAGTATACCCGCTGCAGTCGCCAACCCCGTAGATATTGCATTCATCTGAAAACTCCAGACAGACATGCGGGTATGGGGGTTCCTTCTCTCCATGAAGACGCGGAACGCAAAATTCTCCTCCTCGTTTGAAGTGCTTCTAATGTACCCAGTGAAGGGTGGAGGAAATAACGCCCATAACCCCCGGGGTTTAAGTCACTCTTCACACCGAATGTGGTCAGTCCAAGATTTTTGGCGTCAGATCATTAGTATTTTTAATGGTGGGATCAGTCAAACTTTGATCTTGTTGTGAGACATTCAGATTGTGTCAGGCTGAAACCGAGCGGCACAGTTGTTGTGTCCGAGGTTGTATTACACGTCGGAGGCGTGTTTGCTGCCATTTACATCCTGTGGTTTGTTTATGATGAAAGTGAAAATTTTTATCAAGTGTATATATGTTCGTAGGTTAAGATCTTACAAGGCGTCCAGCTTTCAGTTTTAGCCTGGAAAGTACATATTCTGATTCTACTCAACATTTGGTTCCTACTCACTTGATGAAGGTTTCGATTTGCAACTCCTTTCGTAAGATCTGCAATCACTTCACTGTTGCCTGTACATGCTGATAATCCGGTATAATAGTCTTGCCTCTTTATGAGCGGAATCACATTGCAATACTAGAAATTATCTTTGATCTGAACGTTATATCTGCAGATACGAAGGCACGGTTTGGGATGATCTGGCGCATGGAAGAGGCGTTTATACAACCGCTTTGGAACTGTGCAAGTGAGTTCTCAACGCCGGTCTCAGTTCCGTGAAGGAGTGTTCGTTTTCGTTCGACACCTTAGTTGACCACTTATTGTATTGCACTGCTGATTATCCCATTCTAAATTTTGGATATTCTGGACTCTGGCAGGTTATTGCCTACCTCGTCATTCTGAATGGTTCTATCTTGTTTGTGTTTTTATATATTGATCTGTTGGGAACAACTTGTCGTGGCTCGATTTTGGGTGAATCTCAGGTACGAAGGCGAATGGTTTCAAAATGCCATGGAAGGCCATGGTGTGCTGGAAGTTGATGTTCCAGTTGTCGAACCTCCTCCGGATTCTGAGTGAGTCTTTTGTGTTTTACCTACAGTCTTCGACTTACGTTTTGTTAGTAGAAGTCGTTTTGCAAGCTGAAGATAGGCTTTGCTTTTGAAACGAGTTTGGATTGGAGTAGTATATTCAGTATAGGGCCGTGTAATTATCACAGGAAAATGAGAGGAACCGGACAAAAAGTGAACACGGATGCACTAGAACGGGTGAAAAGACTACACGGAGGTCTTTACTGTCGAAGCTGTTGGATTGTATCGCTTCAGTGAGTGACTTGCGTGCTATGCCTTCTATTTCTTGTTTTACTACCTATATTAGGGCCGCGAAGAAGCTGAAGGCTCAGGGAAAATTGCTTCAGACAGACTTCATGGACCAGAAGGACAAGGACTGGTTGAAACTGGAAATCGAGGACACCCTGGAGAATGAGGAAGACCCAATTGACCCGAGTCCTATTGAGGACAGCGATATGTGGGTGAAGCAGTTCGGGGAAAAACCGTGAGTACCTGCATGAAGATAAAACCCGCGTGTTCAACTAGATGTATCATACTCAAAACTTCGCTTCGAGTTTGGTCGAGTTTTTGAAGTTCCTCCAACTTTTTTTCCGTGTTCTCTCGTCATCAAGAAAATGATCGATCATCTGGAGTTACACATTGTACCAACGAGGCCACTGAGCCCTGTTTCTGCTGTCTCAAAACTCGATGCTTTTGTAAGAGCAATGGTGCTGACTTAGTATGTGGTATGTGGTCCAAGTGAGAGAGGTCACTACAGATACTCAGGACAATGGAAACACAATCGGATGCACGGATGCGGCTTGTACGAGGTCAATGGTCGGCAAATCTGGGTACAGACCCTTCTTATAACGCTCCCAACAATTCTTACTTCTTACCCTCTGTAGGCGTACTTGTGTTGTCTTGAAAAGTTTGGCGAACTACTCCTGAACTCGGTCCGTCCGAATAGTCGCTTGCCATGTTTGAATGGGTTGTCCTTTTGATCGGATACATCAATGTTGTGAAACGTCAGATTGTCACTACTTCACGTCATTTTTGTACTGATATTCCACGAGAACATACAACATGCGAGGATGAGGTTTTTTTGAAGCAAGCTTCAATTTCTCATGTAGTTTGTAGAAAATATAAACTGGAATTTTTCCCAGAGTTCCTAACATTGGGGTTTTCTCAATATCTAGGTCTTTTCACTACCTAGCGTGTGCTTTACTGAGTGTGGCTTTCACTTCTGCAAACTCTGTCAAATTTGCATATTTAGGAGGACGAGATATGAAGCTACAGATTGGATTCCAGTTGAGGCCTTTACAGGAACTTACAGTTAATATTATAAATGTGTAGGGGAAGTTCTACTTTGGAGAGATGTTGCCTGTTCCAGGAGAATGTGACGAAGATCAAGTTGCTGTAAGTCATCTGGAAATTGAAATTTATAACCTACGAAGCTTTATGTTTCAAGATGGGAAGAAGATGAATGTGTTTGTGATTTCAGTCAATCCGTATTGTCGACTCAAAGTTGGGGTGGGAACCAAAAAGATTCTTTCTTGAAATATTCGTCATGCAGGTGCATGCAGGCATGGCCGAAATCGCGGCAGCGAAGGCGCGGATGTTTGTCAACAAACCTGATGGGAGTAAGTTCTTAACGTCTGAAATGCGAAATTGAAGTCTTGATTGTATTGACGAATCAGGGGAGCGAAATAGATCTTATTATGCACGTTAGGTCACATGGCCTCCTGGACTCATACCAGCTGACCCTATGCCATGAGTTGTGTAAGCAGTGGCAAAATAACTCTTTCGAGTTGTGAATGGAGATTCCTCACGTGGTACATTTGGTCGTGGCACTTGTCGAAGTTTAACGCTCTTTCAGCTGGAAAGTTACAGTTGATATATCAGTTACTGATTCGCGGATCTCTTCGTGATCTACAGTGGTGAGGGAATACAAGGGACCATATTCAGACCCCTCACACCCTTACATGTACGAGGAGGAAGATTTGTGGATGGCGCCTGGTTTTATTAACGAGTTTTATCCAGTATGCCCTATCACTATTCTTGTGAACTTCACCTCGCCACCTTGTACTGTTGCTTCATATGCTGAGTTTTGACTCGGAATGTGGCTTTTGAGAAGACATGTCGTTGTAAGGGAAAGATTTGGATCCATTGTTGTGGGCGAAGATTTGGCTCCACTCGACACTTCTGCATCGTTTGTAGGAAAGAAACTAGACACTTGAGAACGATGGGTTACTGCCTCGCGTATTGTCAGCTGTCATTTCGTTTCTCGTTCAAGTAGTCATTCTTTGTCTGCGGGTGGGTTTTAGGTACCTGAAGACTGGCAGAGATACGCAGAGGAGGTCGATGAAGAACAAGCGATGTGGTTGAATTCATTCATTAAGTCACCTTTGAGAATTCCTATGCCTCCTGAACTTGAGTATCAGTGGCAGAAAGGTAAAGCCAAAAGTTTCTAAGCTTCAGTTTTCAGAAAATTGCTTCTGAAAGGCACAAGATACTCAGCTGGTGTTTTTCTTCTTATCTCTCATGGATGTTGTACTGCTGCAGATGACGAGTTCGTTGTCTTGAGCAATAGAGACTCAGATCCGATGATGCAGGATCCGGCAAATCTAGACCCAGAAGTGGAGGGAGATATTCTACTACATGTCCCAACCGGACAGCTAATTAATTGGGCCGAAGACAAAGACGGCAACCTACGCTTCTTTGTTCAGCCTGTTACAGAAGATGGTGTAATCAGGCCAGAATTGGCTGTCCCACTACCTCTTGGTTTCGATGAATTTATGGGAGAAGTTGATTCAGAAGGGAACAAGATTGATGAGAGTAGAAGAAACTTAACTATAGAAGAGAGGCAAAAGTTAGAGAAGGAGGACAAGAAAAAGGAGAAGGATAGGCGTCTGAAAGAGGAAATTGCGGAAATAGAGAGGAAGGAGAGTGAGAAAATCAAAGCACTTGAACAGGAGCTGTATGTGAAGGATCTGGAGAACCAACTGGAAAACGCTCTCTTGGAGGAAAGGTTTATTGCGGAGCTTGAAGCCGATGACGAAGATGAGCTTACGTCGCCTGAAGTTGGCGAGGTTGACACAGCTACGATGAAAGAAGATATTGAGGAAGTTCCGTCGAAGGATGAAGAGGTCGAAGAAAGTGTTTCAAATGTGGAAGATGCCCGAGAGGTAGACCAGAAACAAGGGGACAATTCTGAGGACGATGGTTCTGAGGGAGACGAGGATGAGGAAGACAAGAAGCCGCGAAGTTTTGGCAAGGTTGCTATGGTGTCTCCTGAGTATGCTAGGAGTTGCCGTCAACAAGTCGGAGCGCAACCTCCTCCAACATTTCCCACGGTTTTTGCTTCAATAAGTTTGATGACTCAGGTAAAAGGCATTCGAAGATGCATGTAATGTTGTCTCGAACCTCATGACGGGCTCGGGAGTAAGCTAGGCCAATTACTCACCAAACGTTGTTCATTTGATGTTGGTCGTGATCGTTGCAGTAAAGGATGTTCTTCTGATGGCTGAATTTGTGGTTATGTACAGACGGCTTTCAAGCAAGTTGTGGAGTCATCTTTATCCAGCGTGCAAAGGGTATGGTCTTCCAAAATACATGCGCCTACTATGATTCCAATTTCACCAAGAATATCGAAAATGAAGGAAATCAATCCTGTATCTTCATCTATTGCGGCTTCGCCTGAGATCGTGAAACCAGTTTTTTTGAGAACTCAGACAGAAATTAGGTGTCCGAGATTGTACCATACATCAAGGGCTCGATATGCCGTTAAACTTCCTGCGCACAAGAAGATGACTGCTGCCCAAGGCGTGCTGTCATCTTTCCGCTCCCAACGAACGAGCCAGAGAGCTGCCCATTCTGAGCTCTCAATTAATCAGCTTGGGTCAAGATTGCAGTCCACATGGACGGTACCTTATAATGATGTTCTTTCAATCGCAGTTCCAGTTCAAGTTCTTGGAGCTTAAATTCAGCTCCATACGGCTGATCTAATATCATGCCTCTTACGGTAGTTTCTAGAAAAGAAAGGATTGATGGGGCAGTGAGTACAACGTAAGTCTGAAAATAAAGGATTTTGTTCTCGTTGATTAAATTTGCTTGTTATTGATTTTGTTGAATTTGTGTTCACATTGCTTAACTTCCAGTGAACATGGCAACAGGAAAGAGGGGTACATGGTAACTGCTCCACTGTTAAAGTTGATGTTATCAATATGCCAGATTTTGTTCATTTACCGTTTCGTCCTAGTTGGGGAGTTCAGTTTTGGAGAGACTACTGTGAAACCTGGGCATAATTATGTTGTGTTCCGTAGTTTGAATTCACATAGCCGAAGTATTAAGTTTATACTCTAAACTATCACTCATAGACACTGCCATGAGGTAGAGTCTTGTATATTGAGGAAGTGATTCATTGTTTGACATGGTTACTAACACATACTGAATTTTCTTCATATCAGAGTCTACGCCTAGGAAGTGTGATGCCAATGATGACGCGAAATGATAAATTTGGAGTTTTATATGTCATGTATATGTTTGATTTAAATTCAGTACTTCATAAATTTAAGAATTCAATTTTATAACCCTTATAGACAATTTATTAATCTTGAACATCGTATGTAACTATTCTAACGAGTCTTTTTAAACTAAATTTTTATGAACTCCAAGATAACTTTGTGATCATGTTGGTAAGTGGAAACAAACTGATATGTATGATCTCACGAAGAGACGAGCGACCACTTCATTTTTAAAAACATTCATTGCATTTGTTTATATGTCACTCAATCTTTTTCATGCATATCTTTAATAACCTAAGTTGTGTCTTTATGGAATGTTTTATTTGAAGTTTTAGCAGAATGTTCTACCTGCGCATTATTTAAATTTTTAATTATTAGTTACAAATCATATTATTGTAATACTGATGATGAATTATAATGCTAAAGAATATTTTACATATTTTAGTTTAATTCTTTACAATAAATTTATTTTGGAACAAATATGAACATAATCTAAAATGATAGAGATGATTTTTTAAACTTCATGGATATTTTGCAACAATATGAATATCAATTGTAATTTCTGCATTATGCTCATATCGATAGATTAGAATGTATATAGTGAATTTCTTTTATGTAATGTATATTTAGTTCTAACATAATGCCAAATTAAAACTATACTCATTATAAAAAAAATTATAATAAGATGAAAAATTGTATAAATATTTTAAGCAAAACTAAAAACTTCATTATTTTTGATCTTGTGTTAATAGCATTTTACATTCATGTATTGTATGAAGTGTAACTATGAACTAAATAACTAAATATGAACTAAATAATATATATTTAACTATTTTATGTATACATTTTAATCAGAAATATTCTATGAAATTATTTATGTTCTTATGAACTCATCAAACCTTGTTTACCATTACATAGAAATATAACATGAAGATAGAATCATGCAAATATTTCGAGACAAAATATAAAATACAAACAGTAGATGCACACAGATTTGACGTCCACAAGTACATGGATTGACTATTATTATGTACACAAGAACATAAAATTTTAATGAAATAACTAGAAATAATGTTTGGGGCGAGCTAGGTCTAGCTCTCATGTGTAATTCGGAGAAAAAACCTTTAATAGTGTCACCTTCGGACTTGAATTATCATTAACAATCTAACCCTTAACTCTAATGGTGGTGACTATAACTTATAAAATTATTGTACGGAAAGTTTTAGTTGAAATCTAATACAAATTTATCTTTAAACTAAAGTTAACTAGTATCAAACCATAGTCAAAAGAAAACAGAGTAAAATATATAAAGTATAAAAAATCTATTAGCAAACTTTAATTATGTTATTCATGTGAAAATTTGTATAGTAACACAATGTCTACTAATATTTTTTTAAGAAAAAAATATTTTTTTTATCAACGCATCAACTAGATCAAATTTATCATCAATCTTGAAAAACTGAATACTTTTATTATATATATATATCTTTTATAAAATGATATATGATGTTCATGTGTTTTACTCTGCTATTTATTATTTGATTTGCAACTAGATGTAATATATTTTCATTATCACAATAAGGTTTGATTAAGTCCAATTTGATCTAAGTGTTAAAGCTATTCAACTAAATAGTCTATTTTTTTGATTATGCTGCTATTGTGGATTGAGCTAAACATTAATGTGGAGTAGATCTGTAATTTATGTATCCATCACCAAGTATAGACATTGATCTTGTTGTAATTTTTATCTTATCTAGCACCGATCCATAATCAATATCAACCACATTTTAACCAATATTTGACATTGTGTGAATAAATCATCAAACAATATATTATGATTTTAGTATTTTATAATTACATGAAAATTTATTTTATTGTTTTTTTATGTAATTTGGAATTTATATGTATTTGTTCATTTTGAACATAAATTAAAGTAATATCAAATCTTATCTATATCATCAAATACATAAACTTCTCATAATTTTGTGATAGAAAAGTGATGATATCTTTGACTTTTCAATCACATCGGTTGTACATTGAGTAAAAAAAATACTAGGAAACCAATCCATACTCTTTTGGGAACATGTCATGTTAAACTTGTGAATCATGTTAGGTTGTAAATCACGTGACTACATTAGAATTTAGTAGGCGTGCAAGATCTAGCTCGCCCCCGAGGTATTAGTGCGTTTCGTACATTATGATGTTTGTTGGGATCTAGTATCAACTCGTATGTTCAGAACCGATTTGCTTACCTAGTTTCGTTTGGAGCTTGTCTCGACACGGTCGACTTTCCGGCTCCAAAGCCTCTGGATTCCCCTTGCCCGATAATTTTTTTCCTTTTTCTTCTTTGTATGATGTCTGCTTCTGTCTTGTTCTTCTTGTCCCTGTTAGAGAGCTGGACGAAATTCTACCCGTTGGCATGCTTTGTATGATATCTTCTCTTGTCGTCATCAATTCTTCAGTCTCAAGTGCGAGATACGCGTGAGGAAGGGAAGAATTTCGATTGGACAAGTCTCGGCAACTTGCAAGTCACTACAGGAAAATCTAGGCCCTTGGATCAAAATCCTGAAGAACGCAGGCTCAACATTCCGAATTCAAAGTCAAGACGAGCAGATCTGCGAGGCTATGGCCGGCGCCGGACGGCGCGCTCCATGGGATGCGCACCGCGCTAGTAGTGGTCAGTTTTGCTCGTCTGTGCCTCGTTGCCTCCAGTTTCAAAGCCAGACGCTCTCAGGCCTGTCCAACTTCTCTGTCCAATAGCTCTGCAGCGATGCCGCTTTTCGTTGACGCTGCCTGTCGCACTTTCTCATTTGACGATCAATCCTTGCGAAACTGAATTTCCCTCGCAGGAAGCTCGTAGGGGAATGCTTTCTGAGAAAGCTTGCGGAGAGAGATAGAACGGGAGAGAGAGGACGAGCGAGCGGGGCGGTGGCGAAAAGGAAAGGTTTCTGTGAAAGAAGGTGTCGGCAGTGGATGGTGGGAGGACGGAAGGAATCTCTCGCTTCATTCGGGGCCAAGCGAGGAAACAGTAGCCATGCAATCTCTAGGCGGCAGGTAATATGCACCAATTGGCAAGCGGAGCTACTTGCGAAGCCCGAGAGGGATGCCGAAGAACCGATCGTCGCACGAGATCCGCGAACAGCTATCGAGTTCGATCAAAAGTTCTCGCCGCGAGGTATCACAGCAACTCGGTACGAGTCACGGAGCTCTGCGATTGTATCATCGTGAGAACGGGACAAAGCGGAGCGAGGCGGTCGAGGAGCCCAAGAGCAAGTCGGCCCTCCCAGAGTCGGAATATGGTTAGCAGCGGATTTTGAGTAGAATCATTCCATTTGCGCACGCAGAGAAAGAGAGACGGACAGACTACATAGACATATGTCTGGCGTCTGGCTATTCTTGCTCGATCATTACGTATATTAAATCGTCTAAATTTATATTTCTTGTGCAGACAAGGATTGAATGTGCCCTCTATTGTCGCTACCATTCGAACAAAAATGGAGGACACAGCCAGTCACGTCGGAAACACTAGGCTCAAATAGCGGCCGTTCTAATAGCGTCCGGCTTTGAAGTCTTTTCAGCCGGGGACAAGTCCAAGAGAAAGTGTGGAAAAATACAGATGAGTGAAAGAGAATTTTCACTCATTTTTACTTAAAATATTTACATAAATTACGACAACAATTAGTAGGGAAAAATGTGTATAATAAGCCTTTCTTACGGCCACAACATTAAGAGGAGAGAAGCAATGACATAGAATTAAAGTGTGCAGCTAATTAGAACAGTCAACTCGACTCATTCAGTTCCAATCTAAACAGAACCGCCTCCGTGATCACCGCCGTGATACGGTGACATCGAGACCGTTTTTCAGTGTGAGTGTCAGTACCATACTCACGTTATACATAACCTCACTAGTGGGTACAAGCTGAAAGTTGAAGAACTGTAGCAATATCGCAGCCACTAACTTCATTTGTAAGTATGATGTGCCAATACCTAAGCAAATTCTAGGTCCCGCCTGTGTACAAAATTACAAAAACCATATCATTTTCTGGACTTCATCTCAATTGGAGACAATAGTACAATTGTAATACTAAATTCACTACCAGTATAGCATGAATACCAGCTGTAGATCAATATGCGCAAGGTTGAAATTATGATTGATAATATTAACATCCAGTTGTTTCAAAGAGAAATCTATACAAATTGATAATCTATTTAAGATTGAAATTAATGTTCTCAACTTAGTGTTTGGATAAATTTTCTTTGATATGTACTCAATTTGATTAAGCTCTATAAAACATTTCTGATCAGAGTGTAAGTACATTATTTCCTCTATCACATGATTTGAATTTCGATTACATGTATCGTACTTTATCTCCATATATATGCAGCATACTGTACGAGGAAGTCTCTTATAAAGTTTGATAGAGACGGTTGAAAACATGAGATGGTACTATTAATTAACTCAAACGGTTCATGTTAATGGTCTGGAAACTTTTCATTGCTCACATTATTGAAACATTCTGAGATTTTATTTTTTTTGCTTGTTATAGTCTACAGAGGCATACCTGGAAAGCTGTAAACTTGAAAGGCGATTCTGGTTGGAAGACTCCGTCCTTCATCCACCGTTCGGGCTTGAACTCTTCAGCATCAGGACCCCAGATGCTTTGTAACCGCCCCATTGCATACGGGTGGTAATTTACAGTGCACTGTTTCTTAATACGGGTGCCATCCGGCATAATATCGTCATCTACAGCGTACTTGGGGTCCTGCAACAACAGCAATTCCAGATCATTGATAACTCCTTTAAGCGTTTGGTGTTCCCTAAATGTTTTGTCCGAAGACATTGGCCTCGTTTCATCCGGACCCGTTCATGCAAGTGCCGTTGGACTTGCATATAGTCTTCTTGGTTGAAGGAGAATAGCTATACTAAAGCCTTGTGAACGACCTTGGTGAATGATGAAAGTGCAACATTCCAAGTATCCAGATGGTTCCAAGTATGAACGAACTGACTGTTAAAAGGAATATGCAGACACGAGTTTCGTCTCTTACGTTGGCGACTGCAGGGTATAATCGGAGAGTTTCGGTGATCGCGGAGTGAAGGTAGTGCAAATCCTTCACTGAATCGTAGTTGAGAAGGTCCGCAAAGCTAGAAATACTGTCGTCAGCTGGATGGCCCAGAACTCTGACCAATTCTTCACGGCACGTTTCGACTACGTCAGGTCTCGTACAGGTGCGGTAGACGAACCATGCGAGAGTACCTGCCGTCGTGTCGCGTCCAGCCAGAAGGAAGTTTATAGTAACGTCTCTCAACCATTCATCCGACAATTTCTTACCTTCTTCATCTTTGAACAGCATGAACCTCGAAAGTAAATTGTTCTCCTGTGAAGACACAGAAAATTTTAAGTGGCAGAGGAGCTTTAGGAAGCTGATTTGGCTGTGATGAATCAACTGTGTGGATTAGTATCAGTATTTCGACAGCCTACTAAATAAATCATCCTGCAGTTTATCGAGCTGATCGACGAATTGAAGAAAATGGGCAAGCCTGTTACATGATAGTGGAAATCAAGAAACTCGGTTGGAATGAGACTAACTTTTAGCTGGCCTTCATTTTGGAGGGACTCGATCTCCACTTTTCGATCTTTGATTATGTTGTAGAGAAACTTGTCCATGTCTTTCCGAAGTTGGCCCATCTCCCTCTCTTCAGCTATATTCAAAGCTCTTCTCAACTTCCACATAGGACCAATTTGCCTTGTCTGGACCAGTTTTCCCATCCTTTGAAAAGCATCAATAAAGCTCACTTGAGGTAGATCGGCACGCAAGCTTCTTTGATCTACTCCAAACCCGATTTTACAAACCGAGTCCATCGTCATTCTCATTAAGAGGTCCTGTAAGAGTACAAAATCTACCTTCGTCAGTCTTCAAATCCTCTTCTCAGGATCACGTTAACTTCCACGATCTCAGGTCAACCGAGAAAAGCAACTTCTTGTGCTGAGTTTGATGGAACCCAGACTAGGGAGTTAGACCACACGTATGCACAAACAAGAAGTTGTCTCACAGAATTTCACCCTATAAGAATTAACCGACCTGGAGATCCACTTTATTGCCGGTATCAGCCGTTCCATCTAGGATGGTGGCAAGTCGAACTCCATCTCTGCAATAGATTTCAGTGCTGAAGTCACGGAGCTTTGCGGAGCTGAACTCCAAGCTCGCAACCTTCCGGACAACCTTCCACTTCTCCCCGTCCACAACGAATATGCCATCTCCAAACAGGATATTTGCAGTCTCGTACAAAATAGGTCCCTGCAAGCATTCAATTTTTTCTTCACAGGTGACGACTTTGCTCGATCTAAACCCAGGTCCACAACCTCATAACACAAGTGTTTCGTATGATGATGAAGGCCACTAAGAGAGGACCACTGAATGAGACTCAGGTTGGAACCATCTATGAAGACTCGTTCGATCGCTGATCACTACACCTCGCCAAATTTTGTTGTCAATATCGAAGACTTCAGGCTCATTGGGATTACATTTGAGCTCGGTCTACTTCTGTTTCTCGAATGAACGCTCCTTCTCATCCTGATGTGGTGTATCTTATTTTCTGTTCTTCGATGAATAACATCTCAGTAGAAGTATTAAGGTTCCAGAACCAGATGCATGTGGGATTTTGTTTATATGCTAACCGCTGGAAGGAATTCTAGTTTTTGCCTCGCATGACACTCAATGCACGAAACCTGCACACACGAGTCAGTGTCCAAGGCTCATATATAACAATCACTGGCATCAGATATATCCTTCTGCCATGTACTTCACCTTTCGAAAACACAGTCTCCCGCCAGTCGGCTTAAATGAGCACAAGGTCAAAATTTTGTACCGAATATACCGAGAAAATAAATTTGCCAAGGCTTCTGTTGATTCCTACTGCTGTGGGTCTGAGTAGTGTGGCTCAAGAAGGGTGACGTTCAGAAGAAGGACGAAGGCATACCTTGATGTAGTTGGTCCAATTTGTCTTGAGCATGTACTCGACGTTTTGGGGGCTCGCAGTGAAGTAAACATTACTGCCCATGACATTTACAGTAAGCGTGGGTGTTGGAAGCACTTTCATGTAATCGGTGATCCAATCATGTAATCTATTCCAGTTGGCCATCATCTCCAGATAAGAGCCCAAAATGGGCCATGTCTTGGGTCCAACATGATTTCGCTGATTCCATCTGTATAACCATAAGTAGGACACCACAGCCGCTACCAGCCCTGAGACAAGAGCCAGGTTGTCCAGCCTTGCTATTTCCATCCGGATTACCGAAGGATATTCGGAGAGTCACTGAAGTACTCCGCCCGCTGATGTTGTGTTTCTCTGTAAAAAGATGGTGGAAGGTTCGTCATGGAGTGGAAAATTGCATTGAGACGGCATGCATGCGGCAAGATTGATTTAGAGATCGATATGACGTACGAGGTTCGATATTTGTAACTTGGAACACTTTGCTGAGCCACGATACAAACGAGTCTGTTACTATGATAGTCAACGAAATCCAGTTTTACTAACAAATGCAGATGAGGATACCGCGAAACAATGCTACATGAAAGGGAATGGAAGGGCCATACATTGCTTTCAGTAACACGCAGTGCAAAGAATGTCGTCGACTTCGGTCCCCGTCTTTTCTACCACCTCGTGAATCTGCTGGAAAGTCCGAATCTGGAATTTCAGCAGAGATCGAGAAAGCATGCAGACGAATAAAAGTGTACTGAAGAAAAATGATTGCTGAGAAGGGATGGACATTTGTGATATGCTCTCTCCATCCTCAGACTCATATAGCTGAGACTAAGTCGCTAAGATCAGTGCAGCCTCACGTGCTTCGGGACATCTGAGCTTGGAGACACGATTCTAAAAACTTCAAAAGACATCTGTCTCATCGTTGTACTTGTTAAACTCGCAACCACTCATATATAGCTGGTAGTTCCTCAGAGCATATCTCACCAAATACACTTATTGATTGATGATCAGGACATCGACAGGCCTGCATAATTTGCTGCTCCTTTTTCTTGATAGGCGGGCGGTCTGACTTCATGACTTTTTGCTGTCGTCGCGCTGGCTATGTACGGCATATAATTAATGAAAAATCGAACCACTTGTCACCTAGTATCTGGAGGTGATATGCTTAAAGTTTTCTATGCCTATAGACATGCATAGAAAAAGCATACTTCTTCATGAAGTACTTTGAGATCTACCTGGTCTTGCAATCCCCTTTTCTATAATTCTTGGTTCCTGTTAAGACTAGTCTACAGATATTGGATTTGCTATCCAGCTGTCCACGTCATTATCAAAGCAAGGATGTGGAGGATTTTGAGTGCTAAAGTGTGCTAAAGTGCAGGACCTTTTACTGCTATCTAGTTTCTATCGTAGACGACCTTATTACACTTTATGTTGTTAGAATATCTCCGACCAAGTCGCAGGCATGAGTACTCTAATATTCGGTGCAGGAATCCTGCAGTGAGCGTAGCCTTCGAGGGTTGGAATACAGTCACCTCACGAAAATCGGGATTGTCCAATCAGAAGCAGCGTAGTTAGAGCGGGCTCTGCTTTTGTGGCCTGTAAGAACGTGGTCTCAATCTATAGTGTGCGGGATCAAAGGAACATAGTCCAAAATGGATTGTCCAGTCAGAAGGAATGTATGCAGAGTGGGCTCGTCTTGAGTGATATGTGAAATAGTGGTCACAAACTACACTCTGTTTGATTAATAGTTTAAAAACGCATATTCAAAGATCTCCTCTCACAACAGGAGGATGTTTACGATTTTCGTTTAAAACTGGGGTGGAAGCTTGTATCGTCCGCTCAAAGGTGTGGTCTACATAAGGTTCATGCATACTTTTCCCTGATAATTCTATTTGCCACCTCCAAGCGTAAATCTCAGCAGATAAACGAGTTATCGCAAAACATTCCTAGATTCTTAGATGCAGATAATTCCATTATTAGCGTATATAACAATCTTTGCAGTTGGGTTCTTTGACCTTTGTTCTTACAAATTCTTGATTAATAACGGTATCTTGATCAAGTACCATTTGAATATATGAGGCACTTAAATGAAAGCATACGTAATAGTAGTGGCCTTCTACCGGGGAGTGAAATATATTAATTAGGCTGTACTCTCGTTCGGATCCCTCCCATATTACTCTATTTCTTTGAATTCAAATTACCTCACTCCAAGTAAAGAAAGAACCACACATGCTCTACACAGTGCCAACCATCCATTACTTCTCAAGAATGAGTGTTATTTTGAAACGTATTGTTCTAGATAGAGAAATCATGAAATTTACATTCACTAGTAGTGTTCAAATTATTGAGTGATTATAAAGTAATAAATTCTAAGCAAGAACATGAAATATCTAGCCGTATAAAGGGGAGATATCACATCCCTACTATCAGTATTTAATAATCAAATGATAATGTAAACTTTATTTGTAATGATTCTAATTGCTCATTGGGTTTGGAAAAGACAAATAGCCATTCCAAAATATCTTATAAGATTACAATGCTGTTGCTCCGTCTCTTTCCCGACATCAAGGATACTTTGGCATACGCCCACATGCTGGAAGATGCGGGCTGCTCATTGCTTGCGGTGCACGGGCGAACCAGAGACCAGAAGAACGGGAAGCTTGTGCGTGCAGACTGGGAAGCCATAAAGACCGTCAGGGAAGCCCTGAGAATCTCTTACGTAAGTTTTGTACACAGTTGAAGTGATTGATTACTAAATATCGCCGTAGATTCAATAATTTCATATCCAGTCAAATTGTAACACTAGGGTTTAGAGAAAAGTTCATTCGAAGATAAAACATAAACTTTGAAATGAAATACCTAGAATGATTCTCTTCTTCCTCATAAAGATATTTCAAATACATACATGAAGATAAATTGTTTTCCCCACCATCCAATCCATTCATGGTGGATTGGTGACATGGTGGACATAACTAATGAGATTACGAATTGCTGAAGTGTCATTTTTAACCAACACACTAACTAAAACATTCAATCATTATCTAACAAGCACACAGATTAATAACATATACTTTTCAACTAGCACAGGAATTGCTGACATGATTCATGATGACGTGTTTTCATCATGGATCCCGAACATGTTTTTATTGCTATCCGAGAATAAGTAGTTTTTTATTACTTGACTTGTTTTGTTGATAACAAACATAATTTCAAACATAAGACTTCACATGCTCTTGTATTTTTGGCAAATAATACACTTGTTTTATACTATATGGTTTCTCCACTTTCAAATGACATGCGATGGCTATACCATGACTTTTGGCCAAAATCATTGTGCGCAATTCTCGATCTTGTGGAATCCATATGTGATGCTTATAGAAATTCAAACCTCAAGACCTCTCCGGCTTCTAAGTTTGTAGTGCTCAAGTGATCTTTTCATACTCCTTTGTGGAAGCCACAAAGGAGTTGCAGTCCCAAGTACTTAGTCAAACAAATCAAAACTAAACATGAAGTCAAAAGTCTTTTCACTTGGAAACTAGACTTTTGTACAAGACAAAATAGAAATGCTCACTCAAATCTTCTAGAATTTCTCTAGTTCTTCCGCCAATTATAGAGATTATAGCTAAACATAGTTATAACTTGATAAACTTAGTTATAACTAGCTAGACTTAGTCATAACTAACTAAGCTAAACATAATTAACTCCTTGACTAATTCTAGTTCTATTTCACATATACAACATTAGGTCTTACGACTTGGAAGTTACAAACCTCGAATGACCGACTGTACTCAAATTCACTAGCTCTCAGTTGAGCGTGAGATCTTTCTGCCGAGTCGTCAATGTTCGATGATGGTATGTTCATTCAGCTTTGACTCTAAGAGAGGAAAGATTTGTTCACCACATTATTAGCAGAGCCGAGAAAGAGTGTTCAATAACATGACTTTGATGTGTTTATCAACAATGTGAGACTTTCTCTAGATTACGCAAGATCTTCTACAATTCTAAAACTATCCACCACCACCTACGAAACAGAAGTGTTGTGCTTAATTGACGCTTGGTGTGGGTCGGAGTTGTGTACTGGATTCTTGAGGATGTCATGACCAAGAAGAGTTCTTCATTTTGGTGCCATAAAATTTTGTATCAATCGCTGTGAGTGGGATGGATGAATCTTGAACATAATTTAATTTGAATATCCACAGCACTCATTGCAAGCCACATGGACAGAACCCCAAATATGTATCTAAAATCTCGTTGTGAAATGTTTCACACCATAAATAAAAACCTTTCCAAACTCTCTTGTTGGAAGAGCGGCAAGAGGCCGCTATAATAAACTGAGCAGATGTGATGTGACAAACATTGTTGGCGTATTGATGTCAACAATAGATTTTCCATCAAAGAAGTGTACATAGCCGCTACGAGAATGGAGCTTCAAAATAATATGGCCCATTATCATCAAGAATGATCGAGGCTCGGAGCAGACAAGAAACAAGTTAAGGGTGGGGTTGTACATACTACCGTACGATTCTTTCGCACACATGGACGGAGAACACGATCAACAAGGAAGATTGATATCTTGAAGCCTGAGTATAATATATTCACAGCATGTCAAACCACTATGACAAAAAAATGTTGCTATTGCGCAGCATAGCAACTCCGCAAATTTCCACTCGAAGAGACAAACTCGTTCAATGTGCCAGAATGCCAATGAAGACCCTAGAGCGTAGTCGTAAGGTATTGGCTCCTAAGAAGCTCAATGAACAAAATTGCCGTGAGAAGATGCATACTTTTGCAATTTTTTGCACGAACGAAACAATAGAGAGGTGACAATAGCCGAGCATGTGAAAGTCAACAGACGTGGACTTTTGATCTAGCGTCAACACGTGTCACTGTCCTTCACGTACACGTCACTCCATAAAAAATCTCGTCACCCTTCAATGGCCGCCAAGTCAAAATCAAAGTGTCATCTTGTCACACTAAGAGGTTGTCACGTCATGCTCAATGTCACCACCTAGACATCACAAAACCGGAAGGTGTTGACACGTGGCGCAGACAAGTCACGTCAATTTCACAAACGCGCAAGAGTTAACACGTGACATCCACACGATGCTCGTGGGACACGCGGTCTAATGTGCTCAAATGTTGAGTTGCCATGTGGCGGGAAAAACACAAGGCAAGCGCCCATGTGGCAGGTTGTATTGTTCGGACATGCGCGGCGAATAGTGCGGGTAGGTTCGGATAGTGCTGGGCAACGCGGATAGGTACGGGCATTAGACACGAAGCAGATAGTTGCATGCATCTCGAGCAAGACCGGACATGCTCGGACAAATCCGAAGAGGTCAGGCAGTTGGAGCAGTCACAAGCAATTGCAAAGAGCGTAGGCAAGATCGGATAGCACTGGCATATTGAACAAGTGCGGGTAGCGTGAGAATATGCTTTGAGCAGATTCAATCGGAAGATTCTTTCCATCAAAAAGATTTTGTACGTAAAAAAGATTCTGTACCTCCAATGATTTTGTTTGTAAATACTATGTCTGAAAGAATCTTTGTCAAAAGATAGTCAAATTGGGTATTGTTGGAAATATTTTGACGAGACTGGTGAAACTTTTCAAAAACTAAAAGATGAATCAGAAGTAAAAAATCGCTTCATAAGCTGTTTTTTAGTTTGACAATGCAATAAGTCGATTAGGGTATAACTACATACTCTTTGATGGACGACAAGATTACGTGTTTTGGAAAAAGCAAGTATATATGTTATGGGATGAAGTAGACTTTAAAATTCTTGTCAAGAGGTATGATTCTTTCAATAAGCCTAAATCATTGAAAGAGTAGCAGAGTTTTCAAGGTTTCCATTTTGACAAAGAAAAATCTCTCCTCAGATATATGGTTGTGGGGTAGTTTAATCATTATATGATTAATAATCTAGAAGT